TTTTCTTGGCACCTACTAGGCACGGGCCTGTGCTGTCCACACTGCAGTAGCCACTAGTCACATGTGCCTATCGAGCACTTGAGATGTGGCTACTGCAGCTGAACTGAATTTTAATTCCGTTGAATTTTAACTGTTTATATAATTTAGCTTTTTCATCTTTAAAGTTTATGAAATCTAAATACCGAACAAATGTTTCCACTGAAAACTTAGGCTATGAATCGAGACAGGCTTTCAATGTGAAAACAGACACACTGGAATTCCTAGGAGTTAGTGCCCACCCCCAAGTAAAATCATCTCTCATTGTTCGTAATGATTCCATGTTGAACAAATCTTTTCATTTAATTTTTAAATTAATCTCTGAATTAATCTTTTCATGAATTTCCCTTTTCTTTTTTAATGTAGCTATTAGAAAATGTACACTTACGCGGGTCCCTCATTGCATTTTTGTTTTGTTTTGCTTTTTTAATCCTCACCCAAGGATATTTTTTCCATTGACTTTTTTTTTTTTTTTTTAGAGAGAATGGAAGGGAGAGGAAGAGACATATCGGTTGGTTGCCTCCCCCAAGCCCCCAACCAGGGTCGGGAGCCCGCAATCCGGGCACGTGCCCTTGACCGGAATCGAACCGGGGACCCTTCAGTGTGCAGGCCGAAGCTCTACCCACTGAGCCAAACCAGCTAGGGCTGTATCTCTCTTGGATGGGGCTGGGCACTACGCTACAGTGCAGAGCCTAGAGTGTCGATGACAGGCGTGCCTCCTGTTCTCATGGAGCTTACAGTCCAGCAGGGGACCCCACTTTGGTTTGGCATGGGAGAAGGGAACGGACAAAGGTAACTGAGGCGTGGAGGTGGGCTGTCCATCGGATCCCTTCAGAAGTGGGTGATCTGACTCCTCAACACGAGTCCCAGGCGGCTGACACGGGAGTAGAAGCGCTCTCCCAAAGCTGGCTCCCTTCCCAGTTGCTTTTCCCAAAGTATGTATGGAAGTCACACATAAAAAAGATGTCCTAAGGTGCCCACCTGTGCCTTTTCCATAAGATCACCATTGACCTAGTCCTTCCTCCCCACCCTGCCTCCTCCCTACAGTGTGGAGAGGTGGAGAAAAAAAATAATTGTCCAAAGCTTCTGAAGGGGGCGGACCTGGCACGCTCCAGGCATGGCAATAGCTGAGAAAGGAGGCGGGGCTGGGGAGGGGAGGAGGAGCTGGCCTCATGCCCAGGGCTCCGTGCCAGGCTGATCCAGAGGCAGGGCAGCCAGACAGGCAGGCCGGCAGTAAGGCGGGCGGGCAGGTGGGTTGCTGAGCAGGGTTGGGGCTGGGAAGGAAAACACTGACCAGTTACTGGAAAGTGTGGAACCAGGCTGAGCAGTGCCAGCACCAAGAAGAAGGCCAGGGTATAGGAAGGGACTTGAAGGCAGGGACACTACTGAATGCACCTGTGGTCCCGTCAACATGTTCTCTGTAATGTATGCAGCACACATGTACCGTTCCCCATGTGCGCCAACTCTGGCACTAATGTTGGGGACCAGCAGGGGAAAACCAAGTCCACAGAAGACTTGGACTGAACCCTATTCCCTCCCATTTGGAAGGCTCTTGTACCTTATTATTTATCTATTTATTCATTCATTTATTTATTTATTTATTTAATAGAGGGAGGGAGAAACATCCATTTGTTGTTCCACTTATTTATGCATTCATTGGTTGATTCTTTTTTTTTAATATATTAATATATTCTTATTGATTTCAGAGAGGAAGGAAGAGGGAAAGACAGATAGAAACATCCATGATGAGAGAGAATCATGGATTGGCTGCCTCCTGCAAGACCCGGGCATGTGCCCTTGACTGGAATCGAACCTGGGACCTTTCAGTTCACAGGCCGCTGCTCTATCCACTGAGCCAAACCGGCTAAGGCCGATGGTTGATTCTTGTATGTGTCCTGACCAGGGATTGAACCTGCAACCTTGGCGTATCGGGATGACGCTCTAACCAGCTGAGCTACCTGGCCAGGGCACCTTGTTCCATATTGAATATGTTCCTGGCCCACCTGGGGTCGGGACAGAGGATATTATCCCTGGGCTTCTACATGACCAAGGATACACACACCCCACACCAGGTTCAGTTGAAGGAAATAAGATTCATACAATGAGGCAGGAGAGCTGTAAGCCCCAAGCCTGAGAGGGTCCTACACGGTCACTCTGATTTTACAGGGGGAGAAACTGAGACTAAGAAAAGGGAAGAACGAGGCATCTCTGAGGAAGGACTAGAACTCAGCTCTCCCCCCCCCCCCGCCCCCCGCCCATGAGTGGTTTATGCTCATCTCACCAAACCTCGCTGCTTTCTCTCTGCCACGAAGTGTTAACACAGCAGAGTCTGTACAGCCCCGATGTCAGCAGCAGGAAAGGTGCCCATATTCTGTACGGCTAAGTGCGTGCCAACTGGCTTTTACTGCATGCGGCTCTAATTTGGGCACAGGATTTAACTTGCACAAGATCTAACTACACTATAATACGGCTGGATGACTGTCAGATTTGTTAGCAGGGTAAAAGGGTAAACATTCGATCTCGCAAAATTTCATCTCGGTTTGGCACCGGCAAGGGAACAACCGTGTGACGCGGAGTGAGAAGGTGCTACCTGGTGTGAGCGAGCGAGCAGACCTCCAGAATGAGTACTTTGCTCGATTCTCTCATCTCGGAAATACATGGTTTGACAAGAGCACCCGTGTGTTTTTTTCTTGCCCATCTGGGCAGCGCCAGAGGAAGCCAAAACAGAAGCTCTGAGTCAGTGGAGCTCTTTCCAGACAAATTCCAAGTCTGCCTGGGCCAAATGTCACTCCCTCCTCCCTCCACGGTTCTCTCTCTGCCTGGAATCTTACTCTTCCACCTGAGCGGAAGCCGGCCGTGTGAGCTCTACAGTGCGAAGCGGGAGGAAAGAGAATGTGGGGCGCGGGGAGGCGTGGAGAAGAGACCATCAGAATAAACCTGACGTGTGGGGACCAAAGAGATGAGCAAATGTGAGCGGTGCAGCCTTCCTGGCTGAGGCAAGCGATGGTGTGGGGAAGGGATTAACCGTTGGGTTACCAGCGGCGGCCACTGCTCACCATCCTCCTCAAGCTGGCAGTGGGAAGCTTCTGGGGTCTTCCCTGGGGGTGAGGGGGGTGAATGTGAATCGGCTCTGACTGAGGGAAAGGTGAAAGGGGGCCAGAAAGACCAATTCCTGCCCCGGCCTCCCAGGACATGTTGGCTTAGCTCTCCCCCTGCTTGGTGATGTCAGCAACCCTCCTGAAAGCTTAAGAACCCAAAAGTCTGGCAACTCTTGAGGCCCAGAGACCTAGCTAAGGATGGAGCTGGCACTCGGTGGAAAGCAGCGCAGGACATGCCTGCAAAATGGAGAAAGGTCGAGTGTCTCCTAGGGGGGCACGGCCAGCTTGGAGAGCCCAGCTCAAGACAAGAATTCTGAGGTGAAGCTCTCAGAAGCAAGAGGAATCGGTCTCTGCAGCTCACAGTTCTGCACTGAGAAAAAGACTGGGGTTTAGTTATTCTTGGAATCTAAGGTTCCCCGGGAAAGGATGAGACTGCACCCCGGGATTCCCGTAGAAACAATCATGTATTCTATTCATGGAAAGGAGCTCTGGCCGCTTCCCTCCAACACGAGGTGAACAACCTCAAGATTCATCACCTCCACTTCGGCCGCCAGAGCCCTGTTGGTGGCCAGAAGCTTCAGGAAGCTGGTGTTTGCTTCTCCCTAGCGAGGTAGTCCGTCATCAGAACAGCTCTCCCCTGACCGGGCTGGCTCCCCATCCCGGGCCGGTCCTGGCTTGGGCAACAGAATCGCGCCCTCTCTGCAGAGGCCTTTCTCTCTCCCGGTCCCGTCCGGTCCGGTCCAAGGATCCCTCCGGGACCGCTAACGGTGCCTTCCAACTTGGTCTCAGCCATCCTTGCCCCGGAGCAGGGGGCAGGCAGGTCCCTAACAGACAAGGGGACGGAAAGCGCAGAGGGAAAGTGGGCGCAGGCAGGGCAACCGAGAAAGAGAGGTGCTGGGAAGGGCGGCAGCAGCTGAGGGTGGGGGAGGGCGGCGGCAGCTGGGGGGGAGGAGGGGAGCCCTCATGAACGGGCAATTGAGAAGGTCTGAGCAGCTGAGCGGCCGGGCTGGCGTCGGCCTGTGCCCCACGTGGGCGGCCCCTTCCCCCAGCCCCGCTCACCTACCCCGGGAAAGGCGAGCGCGCGCACCCTCCCACCCCAGCCAGCCGCTGGGTGGGCCCCGCTCAGGGAGGGGGGCAGAGGATGCCCCCGGGGGCCCCCCCCACCAGTCTAGAATGTTCTGCCACCAGCATCCCGTGGGCACCCCGACTCTCCCCGAGCCGGTCCCGCCCGGCCCAGGGGGCCCTCGGCTCCCCGCACCGGGGCGGAGGGGGAGGGGACGGGCGCTGGGGGCTGCCGGGTGGGGGTGGGGACCAGGACTTTGCCCTTTGTCTCTCTCTCCAGAGCCACCAGCCGAAACCCGACCTCATCGGTGAACTCTGGAGCCGCAAGGGGTAGCCTCCCCCCTCCGGGCTCCTTTAGTAAATCCAGACCCGACCTCCCTGTGGTCAGGCTGTGACTGAGGTGGTCCTGTGGGGGAGGGGGCTCCCCGCTGCACACAGGCCTGCAAGCATTTAAGTGGGAGCCGGTTGGGGGTAGGGGCTGGAAGTGGGGCCCGGGAGCCGGGAGGGGAGAAAATGGCCCGGGAGGCGGCATTCCTTAGAGACCTCGGCGGGGCTGCGGGAGGAGGCCTCCCACTGAGCAGGCAGGACCCGGGCCTGGGAGTGCGGTGGGCTGGGCTGGGCTGGGCTGGGGGCAAGAACTGCGGGGCCTGCAGATGAAAGGCCCTCCTCCCCAGCGTTCTGGGGGCCTCTGCAGCTCGGTCACCCCCGCGAAGAGTCGGGCATCTGTCTGAGGGTGAGAATCACCTTCTTTTGTCCGCCCTTTTGGGGTGTCATCAGTTAGTGATAATCTGATTAATACCTCACCTTTGCCAAGTGCTTTATAGGGCTTACAAAGTGCTTCTTCACACCACATTTTCCTATGAACCTAGAACCACGACAAGAGGTGGATCTGAGGCTCTAACCCAGCGACTTTCCAACTGGTGCGCCCCAAGAATGTTTAAAATATGCAGTACCTGACTAGTCAGGGGCACTGACCTCTCTTCCCTTAGACTGCCAAATAAAATAGAAATGACAACAGCCAACGAAACAATAGCCATCCCGTGTGAATGAATAAAAATTATACCTACTTTTTTGTCAGATGGGCAAAAAATACAGTTTTTGGTGTGCCGCAGAATTTTAGTAGTTTGTGTGCCGTGAGATAAATTTTTTTAAAAGGTTGAAAATCGCTGCTCTAAACAACCACAGAAGATCAAGAATATTCTTATTTCCTCTCTGCAGTTAAAATAACAGGCTCAGAAGGGTTACGTGACCAGCCCAAGGTGACACCGGTCAACAGTGTCACTGTACCGGGAAGCCTGCTCCTGCTCGTCAAGAAAAAAGGTAAATGGGTTCTTGCTCCTCAAAAACATGCATGAACTATTAAATAAAAACATGTATGAACTATGAATTGATTCTGTAGGAATGTAACAAAGGGATGTCCCTCCCTGACCTCCCTACCCCCCACCTCCTATTTTCTCCAAGGTGGAACCCAAACAAAAGCAAGGGGGGGGGGGGGATCAGCCCAGGTTCCTAACAGAAGTGCTAAAGGATGGAGGCTCATACAACTCAAAATACTTAGCCAGCTTATTTTATGGGGTTTCTGGAGGATTGAGATGAGGAAAGGAGATCCAGGAAAAGGTGCTGATCCTAGATCCCACAGTCTGCACATGTGAGGAGAGAAGGGCTGAGACTGATACCTGAATTCTAACCCCGCTCAAGCCCTTCTCCATGAGTGATTTCCATTATCTAGATTTCTTCAATCACTCAAGATTGCCTGAAAACCCCAACCGTGGGAGAGAACTACTACCATGCAAAGCAGGTATGAAACATCTGGGGAGTAAGAAGGTTCGGAGCATGGAGAGATCAATGTTGGGTGTGTTTTTATTTGCTAACCTTATGCTCCCGGATGAAAAAAAAAGCTCAAGATAAGAATCAACTTCTCCGAGCATTAGAGCTGTTCCCACCTTGTAAGAGAGAGCTCAGCCTTGCAGGTAGAAAGGCATGGGTTTAAACCCAACACTACTACTTACTCAAGGTATTGCTTTAACCACGCAGAGCTTCAGTTATTCCTCCTCCTATAGAATGAAGATTAATACCTTATGAGGATTCACTGAACAGTGACTAGCTCTGAGTAGACACTCAATGGACGCTCCCTATGCTTGTAGAAGAACTCATCTTTTGACCCACATCACCTGGCACAGTGCTCAGGAGCCAAGAAAATGCCTGAGAAAGGAAAGAAACAGAAACATCTGCCCACTGACCTGAGCCCCTCTCCCCACGGGCATGCCAGCCCTCTCGACAACGCTCTCTCCTTAATCCAAGCCTCCATTTTTCCTGCCTATCCTCCAAAACACGGCTTAGCTCAAAGCTCCCCTTGCCTCCATTTGAGTTCCTGAGGTTGTGTGCCTCTCTCATTTTACTATAGTCTCTTGGCCTCTGCTGTCCCACAGCTTTTCCTGGATCTAAAGTGAAAGTGCTTACTGGAAGGCAGGGATTTTATCTTTTACCTCTTTCGTGCAGCTTCCCCTCTCAACCCGAGTCCCTTCTCCACCCTGAAAAAGGCGCAATCATGCTAAATAAAAACCCAGAAAGTAATTAATATTTAATACAGAAGAGGGGTTAGGCAAAGACTCCCATTTCATGGAGGATGAAGAGGTGATCACTATGCAGGAAAAAGCAAAACTGGCAATAGTTTAGATGTAGCTGGGGGAGAGGCAGGTGGGGAGGTATCCTTTAATGGGTACAGAGTTGCAGTCTTGCAAGAGGAAGAGTTCTGGAGATGAAAGGAGGTGATGGTTGCACAACAATGTGAATGTTTTTAATGCCACTGAACTGTATCCTAATCATTTAAAATGATTAGGACAGTAAACTTTATATATACTTTTTATCACATTAAAAGTTATTTTTCAAATACCAAGAATAAAGTGAAAAATGTGAAAGCCTATGGAGAAGAATTATTTGATAAATTATATTTCTTTTTATCTCCACCCAAAGACCAAGGTCTTTCCCTTGTTCCTCGTCGTATTTGTAGTATCTGGCAGAGGGCATGTCATGCAACAGTAGATCCTGAATATAAAAATAAGTGGATGAATGCATGCACACATGCACGAAAGGGTACACAACTAAAGGTAGCCATCTTCGCAGCAATATGCAAGCTATCACAGAAGTCCTTACCATCTTACTAAATATTTCTGACATGGAATTTAGTTGTAAATATATTATTTTTTTATATCCCAATGGCTAATGACTGACTAGCAAAGACACACACCCCCCCCCACACACACACACACACACACAGGCTAAAGTTGCTGATGATGGGATGTTTTGAAGAGGGCAAAGGAAACTACTCATTCAAGATGGTCAGTGAGGAGCAAGAGTAGGAAAGTGAAAAACACATGGGGTTTGTGAAGATCATTTAATTCCATTTTCTGCCCACCCCCAGCCTCTTCTGGGCAGGTATCATTCTACTCTATTCTATTCTATTCTATTCTATTCTATTCTATTCTATAAAAAGCCAGCAGCAGCAGCAGCTTTGAACTAAACAGTAATAAACATAGGGAGGAAAACCCTAGATAAAATGACTTCCTCGGCAAGATGTTCCCTTCTTTGAAATGAAATAAAAAGTTGCTGGAGTGGACACTTCAACAGGAGTAAAGGGAATATTCTGAACCCTCTGCCTCCACAGCCAGTGTCCTATTATGTCTAGTCCCTGCTCGGAACACGCTAACCAGATGCAGCCACCAAGAGCCACGTATGTCTGTGAAGCATCATCTTTGCCCTCTAATTTAGGGCTCTGTCTCCAAATCCCGCCAAAGCAACTGCTCTCTATTACAGTTGGACCTCTCCGCCCAAGCAACTTACAGACCTGGAGGAGGAAGTAGAATAAATATTTGTAACTCTGAATAGACACCCTCAACAAGTCTACTCCGCCCAGCAGCCCCCACTTTAGTTCCTGTCTCCCCTCATTTTCTCCTCCTCGGGGTACCTAATGGCAAGTTGACGGGCCCCAAGCAATCCCAAATGCCAATCCAGTCATTCTGCATGAACTAATTGTAAAACCCTTTATAGTAACTGATTAAAGTCACAAGCCTGTTCAATGGCCAAAAACCACATCCGATTAGAGCCCCTCCCCTCCCCACCCCACTAACAGAAGGTCCAATCCTCCTTCCCTGGACTGAGAAGTCGGCAGGGGTTGTAGGAATGTGCATGTGTGTGTGCACCCTTTGAGCAGCGAGGGCTGCAGAGAGGAAGTGGACACGAAGGTGACTTCTGAGCACATCTTTGGGGACTGTTTCTAGTCCAGGGGGCCAGGGGAAGAATGTGAGGCTACTGTGGCTTTACCCCCAGCACCCCACAAGGGAATAGAGAACAATGCATGCACTCACTTCCTGGGCATCCAGGGATCCCCAACTCCTGAATGCCTATTTTGTTAGTTGACCAAGAGCAGAACATTAAGGCAAACATGCCTATCTCCCACCAAGTGGGGAAACTGCTCTCATTTCTTCTTCCCTCAGACCCTCTTCATCCTGAATTCTTACAACACCTACCTTGCCGGCAGAATTAGGGTGGTTCGCCTCTCACCAGTGTCACTACCATACATGCACCTTAGACAGTAGCCCCAAACTGTGACATTTCAGCTAGGAACCTGGCCTGGGATCAAGGCATCAACGATAAATAGAATATACAGCCCATTTCCCTAAGGAACAATCAGTAACACTCCCACCATGCTCACCCCATCTCTCCCAGCCTTTCGTTTGAGAGAATGGGTAAGAGACATGGCATACAGTTAGTTATCAAAACAACCTACACACAAATCCCCTTCACTATGTCTATCCCTCCTTGTCCCATACAAAATACATGCCAAATCCACATACGTTATACGTAAGCAGCCCTAGGTATTTGCCCCAAGCTGCTACACACAGTCCAAAAGCAGGCAGAGAGGTCCGTATCTAAAACAAATAACAATAGCTGATGTGTAAGAGTGCCAGTTTACAGTACAGAAATTGAGACTAAAGGAGGTTAAGTAACTTTCCCAGTTTCCCAATCATTGCCTGGCTCCAAAGCTCTTGTTTTTAAACACTTAACTCTCCTGGGAGACCCTTCCTGCGCACCCCTGCTGAGGACTGCGCGGGGGACCTAGGGTAAGTTTATGAGACTCGGACCTCATACAGCTTCCTCCCCGAGCCTCCAGAATTCTGAGTGATTCCTCAAGAATTCTCAAGGAGTCTTCCCTGCTCCTGTTGCCAACAAACTCAGCAGACCCCACGAACAACCTTAACACATAACAATTTTTTAAAATTTCTGAATTTTCTGATTTCTCTTCTTAAAGATTCTATCTATTCCCAATCAACTACACTAAATTACCCAACCAAATTTCACATTTCAAGCGGTCAAAACATCTGGATAAAGGACTACTTTTTTTTTTTTCTGACGGAAACTAACTCAAGATGAATAAAAATTGAAGTTTTCCTTAATACTCTTTTCCTAAGGAAACGTTCAGAGGATTTTCTAGAATCCACGGAACAAGCATAGTAGAGAGGAAAACAGAAAATGAAGAGAGATGCTCCATGTGCCCTGCCTCCTCTCTAAGAGAGATTTTCTCCACAATTCTCCCCTGAACTATGAGCAAAATTCCCACCCATTCTGACAGGTCTCTTCTATGCCTTTAGCCACCAAAATGCCACTTATCTAATCATCAGACTTGTCCTGAGGGGTCTTGAAACTATCTGGACAACCCAGTCAAGAATTCTTTCCATCATCCAGCTCTTTGCTGTCCGTTTCATTCAAAAGCAGCCTCCTGACGGTTAGCCATGCTCTACCCTCTATCCCACGACCAGAAATCAAATCCCGGAAGCCTGGGCTCTGCAGCCCGACTGCATTTCTGAT